CATCCACTGTCCAATTGGATCGCGTCGAAAATAAAAGAACCCTCAAACGTAAGGTACGGATTCTTTGTATTGCGACCACAATGGCCCAGAGAGCGTGACCTGCCTCAGATGGCAAAGTAAACCTGTTCCGTCTATAGGCGGCATTCTTCAAACTTCCTCCGCGACTGACCCGCGTTGCATTAAAAAAAAGAAAAAAGACAAAGTGAGCCTACGGAACATCGCCTCAACCGGCAAAGCACTGGCGCGCTTTGCTAAGCGGTCGCACACGCATCCGCGATCTCAAAAGTAACCATTCATAACCATGACACTCTAAATACTCCCCACCGGCTGGCTGCAAGAGCAATGCCCGCGTAACGGCCGCTCGAGCCTCCCGGTAGGAAGAACCGGGCCCATAGCCTTCGCGCTCGAAACCGGGGAACCTGATGGCTTTTTTACACCGGCTCGAAATAGCTGAAACGCTGAGAGACCTACAGCGATGGCTAATGTAGTGGAGGGCGCGAGAGATATAAATATATACACGCATAAAAGAAGGGCTACTCAAACAGCCGTTCTTCTTTTCCTTTAAGAAACCGGAAAGCTTCGTGGTTCTTTAATTCCTCAGAGGGTCCTCTGTGGCACAGGCTGAGGCGAATATGTACCATCACTCTGCATCGCTGCGAGTCAAAGGGCAAGCGGGGGAGTGTTGTTTGCGCGTTTGCAAAGTCAGCCGAGCCGGGTCAAGAACCGTATCCGTCGGCGCTCTTCCTGCACCTTTCGGGAGGAAGTACTGCGGCACTCGTGGACCAAAGGCCCCACCAGAAGATGCCAGCTTCGTGGCTGTGGACGGGACGGACGTCACGCACTCAACATCCGTGTGTTCTGTCTGAGTGGTCTTTCAAGGCTCCATTTCCATCAGAAGTCGAATGCGGGATATCCTCAATTACTTTAAGAATGAATAATATAATCACGAGGGAGAAAATATTGTTGGGCGGTGGTTCAGGGTGCTCTTTAAAAAATGCAATCAAACGTTTTTTCGCTTTGTTTTTTACCTTGCGATGCCTGCTCAGGTCCTGACTTAGTTGATACTATGCATGCCTTGGTTAAGGTTGGCTAATTCTCATTCAGGTAGGCGGGATAGAGGACATTATGTGTCAGAGCTCAGAATTATTTCTTGCGTAAATGTTAAAAAGAAGGTCCCTCGTCAGCGTACATACTTTATTTTTCCAAAGGGGGCATTTGGTAACATACAAAAACATGTAGATGAAACAAGGCACGCTAAGATTTGACCCCCTGACCTATGTTGTAAAACCCTGCACTTCCCATATGAGCTTCCACTGCATGATTCGAGAACTCTAATACATCGAAGATAGGCGGCGAAAAAACAAGGACAAGAAGAGATGTAAACACTGGCGCACTCGCAACTAACATTTATTGAAAAACAAATCTCTTATAAAGCCGTGAAAAAACCTTCGTCACGACTAGGCACGGTGTTGACCCATTTCTAGAAAATCGAATTCTTTTGTCGATAAGGTTATTGACGTTTCACTTGTGCACAACGCCTCAAGACACATTGAAGCAATCCTTCGTTTGACAACCTTAGAACTGGCTGAGCTGTATGGGAGAATGCCCTTCTTGGAGCGCGGCTCGTACGTCCAGCATATGTGATCCTTTCTGAGGCTCAGTCTAAGATCTAAAGATCAATGTGTCTTGAGGCGTCCATTAAAACAATCATGTGAGCGCACTGCGCAAGAAAGCTTCAAGGAACAGCCAGCGCGGCTGCAGAGGGATGGTTTCCATCCAAGCGTTCTGGTGGAGGTGGCGGAAAGCCTAATCAAGAAGATAAAAGGCATACAAAGGCAACCTCGGCAAAAGAGCACAGTTAGACCAGTTGTCATTCCGTACATGCACTCCATTACCCACAACCTTAAAAAGGTAGCTGACCGTTACGACGTACCACTAGTTTTCTCGGCACCTAATAAGCTGTCAAGACTGTGCCGCAAAATAAATTTTTCCGCTGATGCTGCAGACAAGTTCCAAACTAAACACCGCAAGAAATACACAGAGTGCACAACGGGAGTTGTTTACCGAATTCCAATGTCACGCGGGTCAGTATACATCGGTCAGACTGGCCGATGCTTCAACGATCACGCACGTGAACGTGACGCGGCCACACGAGCAACCCCATCTGGACATCTGGCAACGCACTGCAAGCGCTGCCATTGCTCCCCGTCATTTAAAGACACAACATTTCTGGCCATATACTCAGATAAGATATCCAGGGAGCTCCACGAAGCCTTTGAAATCAAAGCAAAGGGCAAGATTGCACAAGCGATCTGTCAATTACCTTATCGACAAAGGAATTTGATTTTATAGAAATGGGTCTACACCATGCCTGGTCGTGACGAAGGTTTTTTCACGGCTATGTAAGGGAGTCGTTTTTTTTTAAATAAATGTTAATTGCGAGTACGCCAATGTTTACGACTCTTCTTGTCCTTGTTTTTTCGGCGCCAATCTTCGATCATGAACCAACTGGCCCAATTTGCCATCTTAACTCTAATACAGTAGGTACGTCCAATTCATCTAGAAAACGCGGTTTCGAACGGTTTACGTTTTTTCCTTAAAATTACTCATGTCATTTATGTCACAAGGATCATTTCATGCGATTAGTAAAAAGCCATCCCCAACTTTCTTGAATAGCAGTGCCTCGGTGCGTGCACTAAAATGAGAACTGTAACTGAAAACTAAACATCGCAAATATGAGTTTTAAAATATCAATAAGGAGTAATCAAACTTTTGGATGCGTATAGTTTATATTCCACGGCTCTAAATTTTTTTTCCTCGGATTTTATGGGCCACATTTACAAAATTGTCAATTTATGCTTTTTGACAAAATTTTGTAATGTTGCCGAGGATTGTAATTGCTTGGGTAACATAAAACGCAAGTCAATTAGAATTTTGATATTTCGGTGAAAATGTTTTATTTTAGGGAATGTCCCAGAAAATTCGCCATGACCAGAAAACAAAATTTATTTTTGACCTCCCAGAAATTTTTTGCGTAGATCAATGCTACACCTGGAATATTTCGCTCTTGAGGTGGTCATTCCGATTACGTAAACCCTCCACTATTTGGCAGGCATTAGAACATAGTCATTGCATCATATCATTGTCCCCTGACAATCATTTCAGTATTCCTCGCAGGTGGGAGGAAAACGCGGGAGGAGCGAAACTTCCGTTAAGAACAAAGCAGAAGAAAACGACAGGGCATGGCAAGACACAGAATACGCCGTGTCCTCTCGTCCTCTTCTGCTTTGTCTTCTTATTTTTTTAGTCGTCATGCGTAAAAGATTAATCACGCCCAACTAGTCAAACTAGCCATTTTGATCATCCCGATGAGAGTTGCTGTGAGGCGGAGTTCATCCCGACAGAGGAAGACCGCTACCAGAAGCCCTCTCCTGGACTGAGCGGTGGTGGCCATTGATCGCCATGCAGTGCGCGTCCCAGCAGCGGATGCCGGCGCCGTGACGGACATGCCTAAAGGGCCAGCAGACAGGTCTCCCGATACAGAGGACGGCTGAGGCCCGTTGCCCATGCAGCCCGTGTCGCTCTAACCTACTTGTGACGGAGGCGCGCTGGCGGGCGAGGTCAACGAGGTCGCCCCCTTCTTCCTCCCCCTCTCGGCGTCTTCCTCTCCTCGACTCCTCGTGCGTCTCCAATTGAGGTCGCAACGTGGTCCTTGGAATAAAGCTGGCGGCAGATTCTAATCGGGAGGTTTATCGAGTGAAAAACCGGTACGTTTCGCTCGCTGCTCTGTTCTGCGGCGTGTCGTGCTCTCACTGGGGCAGCTGCAGGAAGGAGGGGAAGGGAGAGGGAGGGGGGGGGGGGTGAGAGTACGCATTCCGATGCAGGGAAATCAGAAAACGGTGGTGCCGCCTTGCCGGCTCGCTGGATGGCCGATGTCACCAGCGATAGCTCGAAGAGCTGGGAGAGTCATCGGGACTTTCTCTTGACCACTCTTACTTTTTCGAAGGTTGCTGGATGCCTGCATTTCTGGGGCCCTCATCCCATGACGGTAAAAAGTTATCTAGTATATAATGATGCTCTCTGGTGATTTGTGTGGTATAAATGTAGTGAGACGATAAAAAAAAAATATTTGAGGTTTATTTCAATTTTGTGTTCTGTTGTCTGGTCATTTTTGACCGGGACCCTGTTACAAACATCCTTTTACGACGCGTTTTACGGCTCTACAGCCTCATATTTAAAAGCGTCACATTCTTGATGTAGTTTTATCGACACAGCATGCGCGACCTTTTGGTTAGCATACTGGTAGTAAGATCTAAAGAGCTGTTTACTGCAGAAACTGCGAGTTGAAAAAAATATATATCTAAGGCTCGTAAACAGAGCTAATCCCACGTGAAAGCCGTTGTCCCCAACAGAATGTCACTTTTGATAATTCACACGCCATTGCGTCAAACACTGTCTCAATTTTTTGCCAAGTTTTTTTAGCACTGTATCACAGCGACACCTTTATATCGTATAGGTCAAGCTGTAGGATTTAGTAATATGAACGGAACGCAATGAGTCTATTTTTCTCGGCAGGGCTGGGGATGGATTCCCTTGGAGCACACATTTTATGTATTCATCAGGATCATATGCGACACAATACAAGTACTACGAGGTATTTGGTGGGCGGAGTTGGAGCACCGGACACTTACATATCTCATATTACGGTTTTAGTTATGTTTTTTTTATTTTATTATTCTGCCAAGAGCAGTTAATTTTACACAGAAACACCAAAACCCAGCACTCATATAAGGTATTCTTTTTCTTGTTAAGTTCGCTCTTTCACACGTCAAGTATACACGTGCTAGCATTCCTGCACAACCCTCTATTCTCGTCCTTGCCTCCGAGAGTCAAGGCTGTTCTGGTAATCTCCAAACTCGAGAGCGCGCTGCTGTGCGGCGGCATTCTCCTGAAATCTCTTTCGCCAAATATTCCTCAAGAACAGTCACAAACGTCCGAGACACCGATAATAGTCTGTTGTTTTATTTTCTGTAACGACGGCATAAAATAATTCGCAGAAGGTTCAACCAGGAGCTTGTGTCATGGCAGCAGGCTGTTCCGCCAGCCTTGCGTTTGAACCGTCCTCGCCAACAGCTTACTTCTTCTTGTGGCCGTGAACAAGTGGGCTGCAAAGTAGAACGTACCAAGTTTCTGTCAATCGCCCTTCAAATATTAAGTGCATCATTCGATGATAAGCGCTATTATACCACCGGATATTTACTTAGAGCCTTAGAGTAGGATTTGTGTTTTTTTTTTTTCAGTCGTAGGCACGTATCGTGTATTGTTACCTTGAGTTACTTGGAGACTATCCAGGCCCTTAACTTGACAAACAAAGCACTAAACTGAGAGGCTACCTGAATATAAATAGTTAAACCAGTCTTCTTACGTATCTATATGAAAAATGCTTTTACGTTTCGTTTAGTAGACGTCTTCAAGAATATTCACGCAGTTAGTTTCGCAGGAACGCAAGATTATTTACCAAGAATTTTCGTGCTTCGATCAGTGCGCTTTTCGCAGAGCGCACTGGTTGAAAGCTTTACTTGCAACATTCGTTGGCATTTTGTTAACCTGAGAATAAAACGAAAAAAAGACAAACCCATACGCTTTACAAAGTTAAGGTGAATTAAATTAAAATTAATTTGTTTCTCTTCATATAAAAAATGAGAGAGGGGGAAAGGCAGTGCAAGCGTTCAGATTTCAACCTAAAACTAATGTCTATAAACTTTCACATTTTCTTAGTTTTGCACATACCATTTGACTGGTTGACACGTAATTGGAAGTCACTTAATTATCGCTGTGTTCCGTTAATTATAACCCTACCAAATAGCCAAGCACAAGTATTTATAATTTTTAGTGTTTTTGCTTTAGACATTAGAATAAGGCAGACCAGCTGCATCCCAAAATCTCGTCCCTCGAATGGTGGTAATCCAGTACGCTTAATAATCGTCTTTCATAACCTCCCGAACTTCTGACCACGTCTTGCCTGCCGACAAATTAAATTTCACTATAAAATTTTAATCGTCCCTTTTTAAAACATGATAATGAAAGTTAGTTTGGCATAAACGTAGTAGTAATTTCTTGTGAAATATCGCGAGTAAAGTATCGGCGCTAGAACAAGCTTGGTATCATCAATTGGCTTCATGAGGCAGACCCTCCAGTAACCGCCATTTTTAAATACTTCATAGAACTGCTTATTTTGCCTAGTTTCACAAACCAACATAATTAAGTCTGAACACGTCTCACAAAATATTCGTAATATTGGTGCACTTCGTACTGCCAACAAGAAACAAAAATAAAAACTCTGCGGTTGTTATGCATCTTCCCAAAAATAGTTGGTTATTCCCTCTTTATCGTGTTTCGATTGGAATATTTTAATTAAATTAAAAGCATACTGATGATAACACTATGATGGTAGAATTGCGCGCATTTTATAAAGTTGCGGGGCTTGACCTTATGCAGTGTACCAGCATCAACTGTTTGGCGTGCTAGACCTGGCAGGGATTCAAACTACGCTAACCGGACGTCAAACAGGCCCCTAATCGTAGCGATGTTTTCATATGGTTTGCAAAAGAGACGCGGAATGTTCGTTTCAAAAGCACTAAAAGCTGATATTGCATTAAAAATGCTGAATTCTGCAGATTCCACGGCATTCAGTTTGCGATGTGTAAATGAACTACGCGGTGACGTTTGTAAATTTGGTCGTATAGCGACCCTGAAAAATAATAAGAGGATTCAACTGCATTATCCTACGGCACACAACAGCGGCAAAAATATACCAAGACTACACGGCTATACATCTATAAGAAGCGGTTCACTATGTAGTTGGGAGAAAAACATACAAAACACCATCTTGTTTAATGTTTGATCATCTAGAACTAAGTAGCTTCCATCATTTAGCGACTAAGGAGCGACAAAAGAAGGGGAATATTGGAAAGGCGAAAAGTTGATTCAAATCGAATAATGTAGACTTATTAAATTTTAGTGGGGTCTTAATAAAACACACTGTTTTAGTAAAAAAAAAAGCATTGAGTACTTTTATTCTTTCGACACATCTGTTAAATCATCTTGGCCGCCTGGATTGTTTGGGTTTATAAAAATTAAAAAAAAATGACAATTTTCAATGGGAATATACATTTTAAATATTTTTAATGGCAGCGCCCTACTTTTAGTCTGCAATCTATCGTTTAAAGGGATACTGAACCGGAATTTGGATTTTACGAAATAAGGCCGCAGAAGCGTTAAACGGGACGCTACGAACTCCAATTCTTCACTCATACATCGATATCTCAAACGAATGGCCGTATTTTCGGAAAAGAAAGACGCGATAAAGCGAGGACTCTGACGTCACGCTCCTCCTGGAACAGTTGAGAATGAGGGGAAAGCTACATCCTCCTCTGCTTCGGTTCACCTCCTCGAGGGGACGAAGCGAGGGGGAGAGGGAATGAGAATCGTGACGTCACATGTCTCGATGGCCTCGTCGGCCGTGTTCAATGGCGCTTTTTTTTTTTCCAAAAATACGGCCATCCGTTAGAAATATCGCGGTATGAGTGGTGTTTTGCGGTTCTGCAGCGTCCAGCCTACCGCTACAACGCCGTTTTGTGAGCTCGAAATTTCGGTTCAGTACCCTTTAAGTAGTCCAGCTGATGGCACTGGTAAACATGGTTCATCTTGTCTGCTGTTGTGGCCAATCTGCGGCGTGCTCGCAAGTGCCTGACCCCCTAGATAAAGGGTCCCACTGTTGAATCCTTAGCATCACCTAAAGATGGCAAACGCGGGAGACAGATCGAGCACGATTGCTGTGTTAGCTTTCGCTGAGTCTAGCTTTCAGTCGGTGGGGACACTAAAAACATCCGGCCATCGAACAGCGTTCACCGTCAACCAGCTGCGTGCCGCCAGCTGTGCTCGTATAGCCAAATGCTGACGCAGTAGACGTGCCAAATCCGTGTCCCGCGCTTGCCTCATTAGGTGAGGCTAAAACTTCAGCACTACCGCCTTGTTATCTAGAGTCACTGAAAGTGTTAGAAGTACGGGGCTTGGTGCATTACCTTCGCGTTTCTTGCCTTGTTTTTTGTTCTCCGGCGTTTTTTTTTTATCGGGTTCTGTTGCAATCTTAGTGTATAAAGAACGATGATAAGATGCTCGCGATTCAACACGTCCTGCGTTTTCTAGATGTCAAATTACTATAGCAGGCGTTTTTCATACTCGAAGCACTGCTCTGCAGCGAAAACTAAATTCAGCTAACACACCAGCCCACCCCATGAGGACTAGTTCCCTCGAAGAATTGGAAAAATAACTTTAGGTGTGCTTTATTAAGTGCAATTCGACTAGGCGCACTGGCCTTTGCTTAAATTTATATTACCTATTCTCAAACGGCAAAGTTAGGGGCATCTGATGAAAATGTAAAAAAGCTCGGGCTGTCTCCAGGAGCTGACCAAAAGTCGTTTCAGTGGGTTGTTTCCTTAATCTAGCATCTACACTTCCGTTTTATTTTTTATTTTTTCACATCAGTTATAGAAACTTGTTCCCAGGCCACAATCTAGCGCATTTTTAGCTAAACATTTTAGAAAATTAGCATAAATATGTCGGATTTTAGTTCAGTTTCACAGTTCAGTCATATCGGTTATGTTGATTTACTTCTATGACGTTGACTAAGACGGTTTTCGCATTACAAATAATAAAATTATATTCATATTGCAAAGGGATGCCCTTTGTGTGATCGATGCCTGGATAACCCGAGTAATAGTCCCACATCTGCTGAGTTTTTGAGATGTACCTGCCTAAGTAACAGAAATTTCGGACTTTCAATTAAAATTTAGCATTTGACAGGCGATGAAGGCCCGTTTTAAGCGCAAAAACTACACAATGCAACCTAAAAATATAATGTTTGGATAAATTTTGAGTATTTTGGCCCAAAGTTACCAAAAAAGTGCAAAAGTTAGGCTTCTTATGCCTGGGTGTCAGGCTGTCCCTTGCATCCTTTGGGCCTCTGTTCCCTAGGAAATACCAGTATTAAGCTTCGTGGTTGTTTAGTTGATACGTGGTATTTCTGACTCGTGTTTTCTTCTTTGGCAATCGTGTGACGAAGCAGCGAAAAGCCATAAAAAGCCAAAACAAACTACTTTGGCAATAACCGACGCCTTTAATCAAAACCTTATTAAACCCAAGTTAGCCACCTGCGAGTGCCAAACTTAGGCCAAGTTAGGCATTTTTCTGGCGTGCTGTCTGGCTAAATATACCTGATGCTTTTGTTCAAGCTACTTGAGGTGATGGTCAGGAAGAAATAAACAAAGCGTCAGTCAGGAAAAAGAAACTCCTTATTTCATGATATTAAATGAACACACGCGATCGAACGATATGAGTATCAAACGCTTTTTGGCAATTGAAAGACGTCTCAACAGATATTACTCTCGTGCGGATCGCGTAAAAAACCAGCATTTTATACTTTTTGGCTAACCCCTGCAAATACGGCACTAAAAAAAACCTGAACTACAAAAATAAATATAATTTTTTTTAAACACAATAAACATGACATTTCTCAAGCTAAGAGGCAGAGCGGGCTTTACGTTTAGGTGCAAAAATACCGGATCCGTCGTTTGAAGTTTGAGTTTTAGTTAAGTAATTCAGAAACTGAAACCCTCAGCGACTGAGTCGTGCCGTGGCGTAATTTTATTTGGCCACCGAAATTTCGCGACTCCACAACAAGGATGCAAATATTCTCAGAAAACATTTGCAGCTCTGCAGAAGATATACCAAGGGCGTAACATACGGATTTACAATTTTGTTTGCTACAGACACCGGTCATCTACAGGTCTGTACACGTGTCCACATTCTCGACAGACTCATCATGTAGCCAAATTCCCTTGCATCACCTGTGTGGCAACCTCTTCATGCCCTGCTGGAACCACATTTTGTGATTGCCTCACACCCATGCAAGGAGAGCTGCCTGCAGCTTGTTAAAGGTCACAAAAATGGCGTCCTCGCGGTATTTTATTTTACTGTACCCAGCAGACTATGGCAACTAGGGGCCCGGTCAGGCCATACCCATGCGTGACCAAACGTCTGAGTGGTCATAACACGTACCAAAAGATGGCCGAACCCAATCAAAAGTCGGCCGATCACAGCCTCGCATGAATGCACACACGGAGAGATTGACCGGCGCCTGAACGGGTTCGCCCGTCTTTCTGACGCGTCGTACAACTGGTCGAACGTCTAGTCGTGCGTAGGTATGGCCTGATCGAACCCCCAGTGGATATTAGCCATTGGGTGGCATAAGAAAGAACACTGCGAGACCGCCATTTCGCGGTCACGGGTCAGCTGAAACCAGCTGTCCAGGCGTGGGAGTGAGGCACTCCCAAACAGTGGATCTAGCAGGCCACAGAGAGGCCACCACACAAGTGGTGCAACTGCATTTAAGTACAGGGGAAGCTATAGAGAAGGTGTACATATATACGGACCTCCAAGTATACGTTATCTGTAAGAAACGAATAAATTGTAAGTCAATATGGTGCACCCCTTGTACATTTACCTGGGCACGAGTGTTTAAGCAGGCATTATATAAAATTACAGATATCTCGGGGTTCAGGCACAACTCAATTATTTATCTGCTTGCAGGTATTGAGGGTTTGCTTGACGTAAAGTATTAAAACGCATTAGCTTGCTGTAAATGTTTAATCATGCAAATTTATGGTGGTGAAATTGATAAAAAACTTGTGCAAATCTTTATACCGCTAAAGCTAAGAGTTGAAAGGTCTTGTTTGAAAAATAACTATTTGAATTCCAGTTAGAAATTATATCGAAGCCCGAACGTCTAGGTTTTTCCCTAGAGTAAATTTACTGCCTCAAGGTTAAAACATTTCTACAGAAACAAAACATTTTTACGGTAATTTCTTGAATATTTAACATCACCAGTTCACTTCATCCTCCCGACGTCGCTCCAACAAATGCCAGTTGCTCGAATTTCTTGCAACACGAATTTATAAGTATGCTGCATTATTTGGTCTACATTGCAAAGATGCTTTCATTTAAGATTTTAAATTGCTTCTCCGCAGTAGAAGGCCAAAACTCAGATGAAATTTCTCCGCCTTTCGTCTGTTGCCATACATCAGAACTAAAAAGAGAATAAATGTTCAATTGAACCTTTTCAGGTATGCATTAACAACCTAATAGCCTGAAAGATTACTTAATATTTGTTTTTCTCCAAGGGTGTGTTGCCCCTTGGAAGAAACAAAAGGTGAAGTTGATACAAGCAAAGATAATGGTGTCACAACTTTTTTTTTTTAATTAAAAAAGTGTTCTTTTTCCGCACCTGATTCAGCACTACAATAAGGAGCATAGCGTTACAGTGAGCTTTACATCCTTTTCTGGGACGTTTAAGCGTATTTTTTTTTTTTTTTAGATTTTAATATCATTTCAACATTGCACCCCTTAAATACTTTATAGCGATTGCCAATCGAGCATAAAAAAATCAAGCATAAATATATTTTTCTACTCGGAAAATATATTTCACCGTATAGCTATAAATTCCTCAGTGCAACCAAAGAGTTCTGAGGAAGGTTAAAATGTTTCCTCTCATTTGTTTACTTTGTAAATTTTCAGCGCATGAACTAAGTTTATCAGACTGTTTTAGCGTTGCTGAAACAACGATGTATAATGATGCTGCGTCGAATTTTTTGAGGCTCTAAATTATGAAAACTTTTGACAGTAATATTTTACCTTCGTTCTCAGCCTGTGCAGTTGCAGATGTGCGTATAAGTGCACAATGTATATTTATACCTTGAGCCCCTATGCTATCACCAATATAATTTTGAACCTATACCAAGTGCTCAATGCTGGCGGGTAAAACAACATTTAAAACATTACTAGAATAATCAAAACTAAACAGGCGTAATTACCTCTGTTTACGCTTATGATTGAAATGATCTTTAACGAAAGTAAATGGCTACATATTGTTTATGTTCCCAGCAGATATCTTTGCGGCTCCAGAAAGCGAAGTTTTTGAATTTCGCCTAAAGTAGCAGTCAACGGACTGCTTCAGTGGAAGTATGTTTCCTTTTGTTTTATTATGAAACAATCCTGGAATTGTTCTTCCGGTCACATCTGTATTTTACGTGCCATATTGAAAAAATGCATGTTTTTAAAATCGTTCTTCCCTTTACACTCTAAAATTTGGTAAAACAACCTTAACCACTTCACTGTCTTACACTGGTTTTACTTCGTTGAGATTCATATCGGCGACGAGTGATTTACGGTACGCCGTTTGTGAACTATTTTTGAAAGCCTTCTTCTTCCCCCATTGCTAGCACAACGCACCTGTAAGCTTCGAGTTGTATTCACGGGGGGGGGGGGGGGGGGGAAGGAGGGGGAAATTTCTTCTTTTGCTCCCCGAGATGCGTAACACGTGGTAACGTCAAGCCTTTGCGCGGAGTCGCTCTGACGTAGACACCCAGGGATTCGGGACGCTTTTGCTCGGGCTGCACAAGCAGTCCCTGCCGTGGCGCGGGGTCTCCTCGACATTGAGGGTATTTCGTTTGCACGTGTGGCAACTTGAAGAAAACGGTACACGCGTGTAAGATTCTCCAACCTGCAAGTTCTATGCACGTGACCCTATACTTCGAAGTTTTCCCGGTAGTGATAATACAAAAAACGAGATAATAGACGCGGTTCCCCAAGAAAGAAGTAGCCTCGTGAGCAGGTCAGTGGAGGTTGTGTTCCATAGCAAAACAAAATACATTATAGATAAAAAAAAATGTAAGACGTTTACAATTCTCTGCAATGCCAAATTAGAGTGCAGCTCATGAGGAGGAGGGGAGAGGGGAGGGTATGCCCGTGTGACGTCACGAGGGCATACCCTCGTGACGTCATTATGGGAAACGTCCCATAATGCAACGCGCGGTTACGCCGACAGCGACGTCGACGGCGGCACCGCTAAACCCGGAAACGGGCGCCTAAGAGCTGGGCTCTAAAATTACTTTAAGTGAAACTTGGACTCTGCTTTTCAAAAACAGCTCTATTTAACTTTTTTTTTTCTTGGTTGTCTTTGATGTAAATTAACCCTGCTCTGGAGATAATTAGGGCCTTTCTGTTTGTACCGAAAACATGGAAATAGCTTATAGTACAAGCAACGCTCTCGGAGCCCTGTGTGCGTACCAGTCCGGCACGTTAGCGGCGTCCTCGCACGTGTAGCTGTAGTGGCTGAAGGCGCTCCCGTAGCCGCAGCTGATGAGCCTCGGCTTGTCGTGAACGCAGGTGATGAGCCTCGTGCAATCGGCCGGATGAGGGTAGCGCGGGTACGGGTAGAACTTGGCCCCGGGCCCGGTCACCTTGTCCGGGCAGCGGAAGCCCACGATGGCTGCACGGGAAAAAGAGCGAGCCAAAGCTCTAAAATTAGATACTCACTTCGCGAAAACGCAGAGCACTCGCTAAACTGCGTTCACCCCTATGCTTCTGACATAGGGGAATGAACCACGCACTGGACGGACCAATCGTCCGCCTCCTTCTCATTACTGACCTCCCACTCCGCGCGTGGGTGGGTGCGGCATCACGTGACTAAGCATTGCCGTATGATTTTTCCGGACAAGAACGTAGCCTCCACCGTACTGTCAGCTTAGGTGTGAACGGAGTATGGCAGACGCGCACCACAAGGCCGGGCGGAGACAGCCGCAATCATTCAAAGGAATATGCGGCATATTTGTCAGGGGGCCAGAACGTTTCATAAGCTCGTTTCGAGAAGGCGAAGTGAGGCGCTGACTAACGTGGCGATGACGGGGTGGTGGTAAACCGGATTTACCGCGTAGTTATCTTTTTTTTTTCTTTTTTGGCGTTGGAAACGTTGCACGCAGTCTCGCTATGGAGAGTGAAGGTCGTTCCATTAGACTCTGAATGTTTGGATAAAATACGAAGACGCAAACCTAACTTTGGCACTGAGGGCAGGGTCGCTAACTTTGGTTTTTAACGAGCTCTGGCGTGTTCATGGTCACCATGTTTCTCGCATACACAGCTGCAGTATGTGAACAAGGACGCATGCGCGATAGCTCTATTAGTAAAATGACTATTTAAGAGACATAATAATTTGTTACTTGAAAAACAACTATTGGTTGCCGTGTTATTTTATACTGCGAGGAGAATGTATAATTGCTGTCTTAACTAAGGAGTGGTGTTAATAGACATCATATGCCAGTAGTTTGCTTCAGCTTGCGAGGTGAGCGGAAGTCTGCTTCGAAATCTACATGTTCATTAATATAAGTTCTGAATGTAAAACCTAAAAATGAAAGCTACTCAGGTTTACATTTTACTAACGATTTCGTTTTTGAGGCGAATGGGAAGAGTGATATTTATACATTAATGACTAAATAAACGCGTATGTCTCTGAGCATAAATTTTATTACAAGTGTATTAGTCGTTACAAACTTAACAATGTCATGAAACCTTTTGAATCAAATAAAGTAGGGCTGCAATAGAAGACATCGTAACCAAGTTGCCGTTATTAATACAATTAAAAAAACCTATAGTTTAAAGAAGCAATGATCAGCAGAAAAACTTTTATTCTAGACTTTCTTCTTTTTTTTGTTGCCACCTTCTCTGAACGCGCAACTGTAAACGCCATTTCGATCTCTTTTAATCTACTTTTACCTTGAATTGTGCAAGCACAACTGACTTCAACAAGATCAACAGAAATATATTTAAAGACAAGCCCCACTAAAATAACTTAAATTTTGTTTTCTCATTGCTGATAAACATATTCATTTACAAAGTGAATAGGCTAACCACATATTTAAAAGTAATTAAGAAGTAAAAAAAGTATCATACTTGTGGAAGCTTTAAGACATTTAAATAATTTATGTATACATAAGATAATATTAAATGACTTCTTATAAGGCATAAGCATTACGTGCTTTCGTGGTCAGAACATTTTTGTTTCTTTTGTAATATATCTAACACATTCTCCCAGACTTGCCACTCATGAACATAACACCATGATCCGCGTACAACATCTGCGTAACGCCCTCACACCTTGGGTGCGGTGAATATTGACGTTATTAACTCAAGGGTTTAGGGTTTCAGTTCTTTCTGACTAATTTGTAACCTCCCTGTTTGTGCAGAATTGACCAGGCATCAACTATTCATGAACGCAGAAAATAAGTAAATGAATGAATAAATAGCTTGACGAAGTTTCATTGAAATGTTTGCTTTAGTATTTTATAATTTGAACGTTTTAGGTGTTGATAGAAGCACTCAAAGTGTAATGTTTTAGATAAATTTATTTTGGGAGAATATGAACCCCAGCGCACAAAAAAAAAAAAAAAAACACAAATTTAAGTAAAGATTAACGCGATATCGCTACGTATCTTATTTCATATTTTGATTTACTTGCAGGTGAACCGGGAGTCTTTTGTGGTAGAAGTAAAGTAATAATTAGATGTGGTGAAAGCGAGTATGCATGCAACCTCGTTGGGAGCAGACATTTTAACCCTGGAACGGGGGGGGGGGGGGGGGGGAGGGGGGGGGAAGGGGGCAGAACTAACGCAAAATACAAGTTCGGTCTTTCTGCGGTTCCTCCTCACGCTTTAGAGTTATAATGGCAAGAGGGTGTACATTCTTCTTTGTAATTCCTTTATTTGGAATTTGGCATATTTCTTATTTTATACGTGGAGCTTTTAGTATCTCCATTTTAATTATTATTTTCGAAGAAATATAATGTTTTCAAGAAATATATGTTTTCTTTCAATGAACTGATCTGGATTAGTACCACAGGATCTGATTTCATATTCACCTTTTTAAATACATCATAATTGGCGGATATTGTAATACATTGCTAATTCTTTACGTTCATAATTTTTTTTGTATCTGATACTCTTTTATACTAAATGCATCATAACGAATGCAAAAACGCCTACTAAGCGACAAAACATCAGTAATGGAAATCGCAAAAATCTTGATTAGTCATGACCACAAAGTATAAAAAAGTGTCCTAAATATGTCGTTCTCAATCATCTTTTGTGGCCTGTCACTTTCATCTGCATGGCCTAAGGATAACGTATTTTTCTTCTTCAATACTACTACCTGACCCACATTGGGTCGTGCTAGGAATGGCAGAAAATACAAGTAGAAATACGAAAACTGAAAAATCAATCCGCAGGTATTTAAAGGATGATTTGTAGGTCATTTACAATTTTACGCAATGTGAGTAACCAGCATTCAAGACAAAAAATCAAGTTTAATGCAGACAAAAAAAGAAAAAAAAAAGAAGAAAGTTCTATATGTTTTAGCAAAAAAATAGTGAGAAAAGATGAAAGTTATATGACTTTAAATTCTCTAAGTCAGCCAGCAGGCTGAATTAGCGAATTCAGGAGGTACATTTGAATATGTCGAGTCGCATTGGGTACTTAATAATTGAGCGTGAATGTGATGATCTCGTGCTCAGTCGTCCCGAGAACCTTACGTACACTTTGAAATAGCATTGTTTAATTTGTTCTGAATCATTGAAAAAGAAAAACTTTAATCTATTTATTCGCGCGCGTTTGCTCAACGTAAGCATATTTGCCTGCCGCACATTGCTGAGGGGGAACTTAACGTGTCATATTGATTGTATATGAAGCTTATTGCCTTGCTTTGTACATTTTCTAACTTATCAAAGTTAGCTTTATTAAAAGGGCCCCAGGCTACATATGCATATTACCATTATTGGTCGTAATAAAGTTTCTATAAACCATAAATTTCGTGTTGCTTGAGGAGTACCTCAGCAATCGTTTCAGAGAACAAAGCCCCTGGGTTGCCTTCGTCGCACTCGAATCAATGTGTGTATGTCATAACAGTTTACTATTACAATGCAACACCAACTACTTGTATTTTTGGACGTTTTCAACTATTGAACAATCAATGCAATATAAAAAAAAGTCACGGGAAACCTTTCCTGTGTAATCGACATTGACGCGTTTTCGAGGCATTTAATTCCATCTGCCATACACCGGATGAGTATCTTATCTAGGCACGCAATTAAAAGAGTATAGACCTGATTGCATTTAACTTCATCGTATAAAAGGGAACCGTCTGCAATTTGTCTGATCTTGACATCAATGGCCTTAATGATAGCATTGATGTAAAGAAGAAAATGAGCCCCAAGACAGAACCTTAGGGCACACCAGAATCAACGGGCATTAAGTCATATTTGTATTTCTTAAGACACACTTACTGTTTTTTTTTTCAAGGTACGAGCTTAACCATGTAAATAATCGATTCGATTTAAGAATAACATTTAGTTTCAAAGGAACCTTGTTGTTCAGAACTTTATCACAAGCCTTGGACAGGTCGAGGAATATCACATCGACAGGACGTTTTTTATTGATTATGTGACCTGAATCATAGGTAATTTCTAGTTTGAGTTACCGTAGACAAACCCTTTCTATACCAATGTTAACAAAGGCTCAAGATACATACTTTTTCAACATAATCAAAATTATGGCTCGAAATTATACGTTCCTGCAGCTTACTGCACTGACTCGTAGCCATTGTGGGTCTATAGGTTGAAATATGTTTCTTTTCGCCCTATTTAAAGACAGCTATAATTTTAGTTTTTTTCTAGTCCTTAGGAACGGTACTTCATTCTAGTAATTGTAGGAAGATCATCAGTAGTTATTTAGAAACCCACTCTGAGTATCACACCAGGAAAGCATTTGGGAATATATCTGGTCCAGTCTACTTTTTGAGATCTATGCGAAAAAAACGCAAGTTACAAATGCCCTCCTGAAATAGAATGAGGTCACTGGGGACCGGGAGAACTTGATTATCGGAGTAGGTTCGTATTTGTTCATCATCGCGAGTAAAAATAAATTTAAAATGCTACTTAAAACTGGTAGCCATTTCAATGGGCTCTTCAGTAACCTCGCCGTCGACGTTAAATGCGAAAGCCGTATATTGTTTTGATGATTAATACCTTAAAATCTTTGCGGGAGGCGACTTGAGAAAACCCTCTAATGCAGAGTTTTTATAACACAATTTTGCATCGAATAACGTTCGTTTTAGTTCCTGCAACATCGTAGTTACGGCGTGTTTGTTTATCTCTGACCCATTGACTTTAGCCTCTTTACGAGCACGCGATATCCTGCCCTTCAAATGGATAATGTCACGGTTATTTTAAGGTCGTTTATACTTAATAATCTTTACTTTGTATGAGACGACGGTAATTGAACAATCATGTGTAATAATATTAAAACTGTCCCAAAGCACATCTATGCTGGAGTTGCAATTTCGTTGATAGATCAACAAACTCATTTAGAGACCAGTATAATGTACCTAGAATACTAACGTCGTCTGCATTACCAAAATCTGGCCTCCTTGACTTCCTAGGTTCAAACTTGCAGAACTGTAGTGGCAGCTCCAACAATACCAGCTTGTGATCAGACATTCCCATCAAAGGATTCAGCACTGAAATCTTTACAGTAAGTGATAAGATATACATAATCAAATTATGACATGAAATTTTCCTATATCCTAGTATAGAATTTCAGCGGCTGTACGAAGTCGAACGAAAATGCCAATACCATATATCAGCGTAGCCCATACTTTAACGAAGTGAGCTCACAGCTCACTTTGTTAAAGTAAAACAGTACTGTCATCTCCACGAGTGGTGTTTTGGAAACATGTCTAGGCAGAAGTACATTATTTGCACAGAACATACTTGTGCATTGCATCAGCAAATTATACATTGACATATCACCAATGTAACCGCATATATTAGCTTGTATATGGAGCATTTATACATTTTAAAATATCAGCGTGATTAGATTTTTAGTAATATTTAGGTACGTACATCTTATAAAACAGTCACACATAAAAAAGACAGGTTAGCTAAATTTTACAATACAAGAAAATATTAAAATTATGTAGCCATGTCTTAAAAAAATGTGTTAATCTAGGCATTCAATAATCGAAGGTGATGCGCTCAGGAAAGCGCCTGCGTTTGTCTAATGCATTTCATGGACATACCTTGGGACCAAACAAACCGCTGCAATAAAATTTGAACTACAGTTTTCTGAACAATTTTCTAGTTCAGTAAGATAATATTTTACTTTAAACTATACCAAGTGCGTCTACCCCTACCTCTAAGCTCTCTGAAAACTTTCAAAGGCAACATCACGAAGTCTCAGAGATAACATGGCACGAATTATCACTATGTCGCAAGATAAGTTTCCATACTGTGAAAAGCAGAAGACCTCTGAAAATTTTATTATATTATTGAAAGGGTATAATCCTGAAGAAATGGTTTTGAAAAATAAAAACTGGAAAACAATAGACAGTATATTTTGCACATGGAATTAGCTTGGTTTTAGTCCGGAACCTTAAACTGCTAGCTTTACCACAGTACGCCCCCCATAAGAGCTGCTTGTAAACTGATATCTTTAAAAATAAGGACAGTTTTTGTGGAAAAATGTATTACATCGTAATTCGCTCTAAAAATAAGCTGTTCAGTAATCTATGGATATGTACTCGAAGGTTTCACTTGTCTCGTAAATATTAAAAAAAATAATAAAATTTTCATAGGTAAGAGCACGTGCACCCATTGTCTAGATAAAAAAGGCCTAATTTTTTCCACTTTGAACACGATGCGTTGCTAAGTTCCCAAAATTATGTTTATCGATGAAAGTGATACATTTTTATTCTTTCTACAATAGGTTGGTTTGCATGAGAACAAATCACAGAGCCTGCATCCAATTTGTATAGATATATTTCTGCCCAACGAAGAACAAATAATATTCCAGACATGAAGGCAATTTATGATTACGTTTGTTAATATTTCGGTATATTTTGTGCTAGTTTTGTACTAACGGAGGCCTCGATTTTTTAAGTTATTCTACATTTACAGATTATGTAAAAATGCTTGAAGATATTTCACAACTTAAAAATACGTATTATCAGCCAGAAAATAAAAAAGTGAGGATGTGCTAACATTCCAGTTTTTAATCTAGACCTAATAACGGTTACTCAAATAATTTGACACGACCTTTAAATTCCTAAAATTTTAGTTGTCCAATAATAACAGACCCTTTCCGAAATTCAGTCTGGTAGCGTAGCAGTGTAATCTTCAAAGATAAGCCAATCCTGCAAACCCGCCGTTGCTAACACGTCTATCTCCTGCTTATAACAAATATGTACCCGGAAACTCATAGCACGCTGCGTCAGCGTTTTAATAGAACTCCCTTATGTGGTAAATTATATTGCTAAAGTCCCTGGATCTTGGGAAAGTAACGCCAAGTTCTTTGTATGGTAGAATTTCTTGTTGGCCTCTTACTTCTTAGCGGTCCGATACAAATTCCAGAAAGCGGCTTGTTTTATAAAGACATTTCTTGTATACTGAGATTTTGTTATCCACACACCGGCGAAACAGGTGCACATATTCACAACACCACCACATGCGGAGTCGGTGCTTGGCAGCATTGAAAAATTATTTTCCTGTCATGAAATACGTAAGAAGAGCAATATCCTTGCAAGAGATCTGCATAAATATGATCGATAAGCTGATTGCATACACAGTACCCTAAATGCTAATATCTGCGGAGAACGCATTCAGTACAATTAGGATCCATAGTGATTTTGGCGCGACTGGTTCAAAACGACCCTTCCGAAGCCTCAAAGATTTGAAAAAATCAAAATGCCGATTGCCTTGCAAGAAACCGTTCAGCCAATCGCCTTTGTCTGCATGTTAGTGTCGTCTGCTTGTTTCCGGCTAGCAGGCAGGGAAGGCAATGGTGCTACTTTCCAAGGATCCAGTGACTTTAGTTCACACAGCCCCGTTTTTTTACGTTACGTTACGTTACCTGACTTTACTGAAGCTTAAAGGTCGGTTTAGATAGGGGCGTTTTTCTACATTACGCTACGTTGCGACCGCTTACGACCGCTTACGTAGGGAGTCACCAGAACACCCGTACTTCAAATAAAACTTGGTGACCGGTTCAAGGAGTAGCTTGGCATGCGACATGCGAAACACGAATGTCCCGATGACTCCTCACGTAACGCAAGAAATCGCAAGGAAACGCCACTGTGTGAACCGACCTTCAGGCTGGTTCACGCAGGCACGTTGGCTCATGTTTTCTTACGTTACGTTATGAATCGTCGGGACATCTTTGCTTCGAACGTCGCATGCAAAGTTGCTCCTTAAAGAAATTGCCAATCTTTGTACCACACACAGGTGTATAGGTGAATTTCGTCGTGAGTAGACGTAAGCTCTCGTAAAGTAACGTAGCGTAACGCAAGAAAACGGGGCTGTGTGAACCAGCCTTAAATGTCGGTTCACACAGGGCGTTTGCTTACGGTTTGTTACGTTACGTGAAGAAAGGCCAGGACATTCGTGTTCCTATGTCGTGTGCAAAGCGGTTCCTTGAACAAGTCGCCACACTTCATTCAAAGCACGGATGTGCCGGTGACTCGCGACGTAACCGGTCATAAGCGGTCGTAACGTAACGTAGGAAAGCAGAACTGTGTGAACCGACTTTTACATCTGCTTACGTAGAGAGCCACTGGGCATTCCTGCTGCGTAGGAAGCGTGGTACCCAATTGAAGGAGCAGCTTTTCACGCTACATACGGAGCACGGGTGTCATGGTGCCTCATTAGGTAACATAAAAAACGTAAGCAAATGCCATTGTGTGAATGGGCTTTTACAATTTTACTCAAGCATCTCGTACAGAAAGCTTGTTTCTTGTTACCACCCAAACTGAGACGATTGAAGAAAAACTGTACGGCTAACAGCGCAACGACTTTTGTACGTCTGCCGTTGACGTACGAACCGCCGTTAACACTCAGACTAATTAGACTGATATTTCCGCTACTAGGCGTCTAGCAGGGTACGAGAATTAAGGTGAAGATGGTGTCACTCGATTCAAACAGTTCAGTCATATCTGTTCATTCATCCAGCACACTGTGTATCTGCACGTGAATTGGTGGATCCATCCGTCAAGTGTGCTTTCAGTTTGTCGTTTAAAACTGTTTCACGGGGCCTCGGTTTCTTACGTTACTTTACGTTACGAAAGTTTACGTATAAATGACGGTTCACACAGGGGAGGTTTTCTACGTCACGTTACGACCGCTCACGAACGCTTACGTCGCGAGTCACCGGGATCATTCGTGCTTCGAATGAAGCGTTGCAACCGGTTCAAGGAGCAGCTGCGAAGGCGACATACGAAACACGAATGTACCGGTGACTCATCACGTAACGTAAGAAATCGTAAACAAACGTCCCTGTCGGAACCGACCTTAAGTCGTAAGGATATTTAGGCTTCATATTAAGCTTGCCGATCAGTTCTATGGAGAAATCTGGGACGCGACATTCGAGACGCGAGCGGTTCGATGACTTATGCGTAAAGTAAGAGAACGGAAGAAAACGGTGCTGTGTGAACTAGCCTTAATTAATGTGGTTCTTAAGACCGTTCTCATTTGTGCTTGCCTCTCTTTATTTGGCGTCCTCTGCGGGAAAATAAACACCTCGGACTTTTTGTCTTGTATACGTGGCTTTTTTATAGTCATTGACAAGGTGAGAGATGCAGGGAGGTTCTTCACTTATCCCACCTCTAGCTCGAGTTTGATAAGATTTCGGCGCCTCGTGATCATTGGCGGAGCACGCGCCGCCAAAGAACGGTGGAAGAAAACGAGTGTGTGACGCAGGCCGGGGTTCCGAAAACGGCGTCCTGCCGCTCTCAGACTTGTGAACATTGCCAATACTTTTTTTGAAGGCATTCATATAAATTTTATACTTCAATTTGTAACAATTTGATTCACATTCAAGTGGGATTTTTTTAATGTTATTCGCACACTTCTAGCGATAAATAATAAATAGAGAAAACCTATATGGAGAGCTCACTATTATAGATATTAAAAATTGTGCTTTATTTTTTTAAGATAGAAGCTTTGAATATGTTTGGATCGGGGGAGTGTACCAACTTATGTAAAATATTTATCGCATGCAATTTAGCTCACTGGTGGTCCTTGGAACCCTCCAAATAGTCAACTATTAATTTCCTTTCTAGTCTAACGGTATTCAATTGCTTCCCTCGCTTTCGTAAAATAAAACGTTTATGCCACCAAAAAAAGGCTAATTGAAGCACATCTCTTTTCTGCAGTTTAAGGACTTTACATGGTATAAGGTAACCGAATTTTTGCTCATTTAATATAGGTCGTTAGTTCCAAGGATCATTAAGCATGTATGGCAAGCCTTGGAGTCTGTGAAGTTGTTATCGAAGGTTGCATAACGAGTAGTCTCAAGTGTTCGTGTATGTGTGCAGGGGGGGAGGGGGTATACCTTCGGAGTCACATCCGTCGACGAGGTCTGGCCAGTTGCAGGAGTGGGTTGCGTCGTCATAAGCCAGTCCCGGCTCGCAGTGGGTCAGGTTAGCGTGACCCCACTCGCACTTGAAGTACTCCACGCAGCTGGCGCTGGGGAACACGCCAAACTGCCAGGGGCAGTCGGGAGACGGAATCGGACCCGCTGCAGTTGGGGAAGAAGACAAAGCGTACGCTTGTCAGAGTGGCTCAGAGGAAAAGTACAAAGCTCCTTCTGGTAATCAATTGTAATAAAAAGTAAGAAGACTGCAAAATAAAGGATTCACCTTACCAAATTAACAATGGTGAGTTTTGTCTGAAAAATTTAATGTCTTCCAATTTGTAATATATTTGAAGACCCACACAGACCACCAGAGTACTCAAAAATATTGCTAGTCGTGTTACACCATAATTTGAATAGCCGACCTGAGAAACGGCAGATAGCTGCAAATCCTAAAACATATGCCTATTATCAGATGCTATATCTGGTAGGTGAATGATAAATGCGATGTACATTTTATTTTAAAAGCAACAAGAATGAGTAGCAGATACACTCATGATATTACACTAACTTAAGTTGTTGTTTGGGTCATCGGCACCCGAAGCCTACAATTGTCGTTGTTCTGTTTGCCTTATTTCTGGTCGCATGCCATATGTAACCCTAATAGGAAACTCCTAAAGCTATACCATATGGTTCTGATTCTCATAAAGAATATATAAGCTAAGTTTTATGTTAATACAAAATAAAATGAATCAGGTACAAGACATCGAACATTTGCGAGTATTCAACATGACTGACCAATATATGCTAAAGCAGTTTCAAAGCCATGACAAAAAAGAATAGTTTTGACCTGCAAATAAACATTTAAAAGGGCAAACTTGAGCCTACACACTTAAAGAAAAGGGTAGCACACATCTCGCGTCGGCGACTGAAGGGCGAATAACCCGATGTTGCCAGCTTCACTTTATTTGATACAGACTACATGTAGTCTAGAACATTCTGAACACGAACAGGCGATAGGTTACAAGATTCTACTAAAACGATCTAGAGGAGCCGCGAATGGTAAAAGGAAGAACTAGGCTGGTGACCCCGCTTCAACACGTAAGAACAACCTGGTCATGTAAGTTTTAATGTTGTTTATACTCCAACACTTAAAGTTTGGCTTATAGCGGGACTTGCGATGAAACACTCGTTTGTCAACTATTTATAGAACATTTGGTTGAGAACTATGAGAACTTGTGACATTCTTAAACTCCTGAGTAGAGCGCAACGTTTACTAGATCTTTACAGAGAGGCTCAACAGCTTTACTATCTTCATATCTTTACGACGCTCACGTTTCATCGTTTTCTCTGCGATTTCCTCATAAGCTATCCCGTTATTCGGCATTTCTTACATTATGACCTTATTCACTCAAGCTTTTAAAAAGAAAGCATGCATTTCCGTCAAATATAATCTACGTTTGAGGCTTCATTTTTGTCTTCAGCCAACCTGCTGATGCTCGTATCCTTAAAAAAGAAAAAAAGACTACCTCTTCCTTTCTAAATGTTAATTAAAACTTTTTCCACATAATATAAGGATTTCTATTACACGAGAAGTGTTTCCTTCCTGTTTCTTGCATAATTTCAAGTTCCACACAGCTATTTTTTGTTTCAAGAGTAAAGAAGTGTTCTCTAGCGATTAAATTGTACGGAAGGCTTGGGACGAGTTAAGTGCTTACATACACATTATTGTCTGATACGTATACAGGGGCGTACCATATTGATTTACAATTAATTTGTTTGCGGCAGATACCGGTCACTAACAGGTGTGTACTAATGTCCAGCTACTCTACAGGGTCCTCCTGTAGTCGAGTGTCCTTGCACCATTGATGTTGCAGCCTCTTAATGGCCCCTTTTTTAAAGTGCCTCACTCCCAAACCTAGACAGCTGCTTCCAGCTTTTCAGGGGCCCCAAAATGCGTCCCCACAGGGGTCTTTTCATGCCGCTTAACAGGCGACAATCGATGGGGGCCCAGCCAGCCTATACACTTGCGCGACCAAACGTCTGGCTGGTCATACAACGTGTCAGAAAGACGGCCGAACACGATCAGGCTCTGGTCAATCACAGCATCGTATGTATTCGTGTGAGGACGTGATTGACCGGCACCCGATAGTATTCGCCTGTCGTTTTGACACGTCGTACGACCAGTCAGTCGTTTGGTCTGCCATAGGTCCTGGCTGGTCCTCCAGTGGTTATCGCCTGTTGGGTGCCATGAAAGACCCTGCGAAGACGCCATTTCTTGGTCATTAATCATATGGAAGCAAATGTCCAGGCGGTGCTATGGCACTTCCAAAACGGGTTTCCAACAGTTCCAACAGGTCATGGAGAGACTGCCACACAGGTGGTGCAAGGGTATTCGGCTACAGTGGGAATCTGTCGAGAAAGATGAACATATTTAAAATCCTGCAAGTAAAAAAAGTCTGTAGCAAAAAAAAAATTGTAAATCAGTATGGCACGCCCTCGCATGTCAATCGTTATTTTCATGAATTAAAGGGGAGGCGCAACGATCTTAGAACTTTGATTCATTAACGGCGCGAAATAATCTGTGTCACTTTTGGAACGAACAGGAAATCGTGCTTTCTCGAGCACGCTAGTCTTTTATTTAAAAAAAAAAAATTAAACAAGTCGAACGTCAAAGCGCCTTTCAACTTTCACGTCGTCTTTCGAGTGACGTACTCTGGGGGACCACGTGGTTTCCCGTTGGGTTTTCTCTTCAGAATCCCCAGCCGCTTCCTTCGTGATTCTCGACTTTTCAAGGATTGGCATCGCCGAAAGTTGCGCTTAGTGATCGACACAAAAGACGGTTCGCCACAGGGAACCGTCTTTCGGCGGTTCCCTGTGGCGGACCGGAACAGCGGAGGGGGGCAGGTTTTGCTTACTTCCGCGCGTCCCTTAAAAGACGTTCCTCCGCAGTTCCCGTAACCACTACACGCAGCTGCAGATCGGCAAATAATTAGTTTTTTTCCTTCGCAATTATGCAGCGGACTGGCGGTTTCTTAAGGCAAGGTGGCGCGTTTTTTGTCACTTGTGCATATATAAACAATATAAAATGACAAACTGCAAATTATTTGAACATTAAAATCGTTGCACTACTCATTTAGGGCACGAAAAATTGTTCAGGAAACTGAGCAACACCGCTACGGCTTTATTGTTATTGACTTGAGAGAGGAATGACAAGGATATTCGTGAGCTTTTGCGTGAGCCTTCATGAATGAAACCCTAACGTTTGGCAGTACACAAAAACTTTAACTGAACAATTAGACTGTAATTTTTCATAGTGGCTAAGGTGAACACGTGGCACCACCTTACACAGAAGCGCATCACCAAGTTCAATGAACATTAAACGAGTGCAAAGGGACGTTCAACGTTTTTGGAGGTGAATTAATTGGCATACCTGTATTGCTAAATTAGGCGTGTGAACCAATAAAACGTCGCTTTGCTGATCACTTAATTTATGCATGTAGTTGTACGTTCAGTGAGGCTTTTTTCTACAGAAAGAAACAAGACTATTACTGTTACACGTTTTTTTTTTAATTTAAGACAACCTACATTTCTTGATTTGTATTTTTTTTCATAAACAATCTGCTGAGTTTTTATGACAACAGAATATTAAAATGGCGATAAGATGCGACTAGCCATGCCGGAAATAGGATAGTACAATAGTCACATGTGACCAAAGGCACCAACATGTGTGAGGAATAAGCAGAGTAATTTTTATAAAGTGTTTTAGCTCGAACAATGTACTGCATATAAAGAAATGGCAGCGACTTTTACATTTAAGGTTCTATAATGCATTAAAATCAGTTTTTAGCAGCGATTGTTTTAATAATTTGGAAGTCAACAAACAGTCGTTCCGGGAATGAAGAATCTATTTTTTTTTATCAATTTTGGCTAAACTTGGTGTGTCACGTGGCTAGGGAGGTGAAAAAGAGAAGAGAGGCAAATGGGGAGAGTTGGGTGAGTGAGGGAGGAAGGGTAGAGGGAGGATATATTAGTTTAATGGGGAGGAATGGGGAGAGAGAGGGAAGTGGAGGTGGGTAATGGACCCTTTCCGAAATTCAGTCTGGCCACTTTGATCGCTATCATCATCTGTGGAAAGGCATCTGTGCCATACCAATGGCGGCCTTCTAGTGACGTTGAAGATGCTTCTAAGCGGATGATGCGAGACCTATACATTCGGGGGGTCAGTACGACGCGACGTAAGAACGAAACACAAGAGCTACGTAAACGTTTATTTCTAATAACTCAGATTCAGTTAATCTGCAGGCGGCACACAATCGGCTTTAAAGCATTTTGGTGTATATAATTTTCCCGAGGCATCTGATTGGGTTGGAGCTTTGTTCTGAATGCAGGTCCTTGGTCACCATCAAACTGAAAGTGATCGAGAAAGAACTCGCACTGAAGAATTCCTCGCGTGCCGTTGACTTGCAAAAGTGACGGTGCCGATACAAGTTAATTTCCGCCATTGATATGGCAAAACCTAAACTGCTTTACGAACCACCAGATGGCACTGAATTTCGGAAAGGGTCTATTGGAGGTAGGTGGGGAAGGAGGGCAGAGGGAAGGAAGTGAGGGAAAAGTAGGCAGATAGAGAGTAAACCCAAGAAGAGAGAGGGATGGGGAGAAAAAGGAAGGGGGAGGGGAGGAGGGGGATGAGGACGGAATAGATGTTTCACGTGGCGCGTATTTCCACGCTAAATTTAACGAGGAAACTCACCTGTTGTATAGGTCACGTGACGTCAGTTTCCGTCGGTAAATTTAGCGGGAAAACTGAATTACTGCTTAGGTCACGTAACGTCAGTTTTACCCTTTATATTTAGCGGTTAAACTGAATTGGTTTATAGGTCACGTAGCGTCAATTTTCCCGTTAAATTTAGCAGGTATACTGAAAAGGTGCTTAGGTCGCAAGGCTAATTTTCCCGTTAAATTTAGAGGGGGAAGCTGAATAGACTTAAAGGCCACATGACGTCAATTTCCTGACTGTGCTTAGGTGACGTCAAATTTTGCGCTAAATTTCGCGGAAAATGCCTGAACGGACGGACGGACCGACGGACGATATTTTGGAGTTTGGGGGTCTCGTTAAAAAGCATTTCACGCTTTAAAACTTGAAGTGACGGTTTCATATATAAGTTGCTTTGATATTGTGCTCCGAGTTACTTCGTTATGTTGCAAATACAGTTATCGGTTATTTCCCTCTAAAGCGCCTTTTCTTATATGAAGGATATTATTTTCCAACATAAAAAAGTATAGCTACTAATTTATAATAACAAACCGTGTTAAGTGCAGCATTTGTGCGGCGGGTGAAATGTCCAGACAACGTGCAGGAGGAAGGTATGCAGTGCCGTAGCTATGTTTCCTTTAATTAGAAGTGGTAATGGTTGAAGTTGATTTCAGTTGAAATAAACTGACCGGCCATAGGATGTTAATGATACACTGAATTTAGCTCTCAACTAGAAAAAACGTTTAAAATTTCTACTTATACAGTATACTATATTTTCCCAGAGGTGCTAACAATTTTAGTTTGCTAGTGGCTTCAAAAATTCGGAAATGAATTATACAAAAATGTGAGTATGGGTATGTCATATATTAGGACAGGCCTTAACGGGCCCGTATACAATATCTGTGGAAATAGTTCATCCGTCCGGGCGAACTTCTTACGTGCTAATTAGGCGCGATCTTAAAGCTTCGAGGCGCAAATTAGATGCATGTGTAGAAAAACTTCTTTGTCCCCGCTATTATCGAGGTTCCTTTCAGAGAAATCATTAGACACCTATGTCACATATCCCATCTGCCTTAATTCTGATGTTCCCAGATCAAAGAAAATATGCAAATGCACTCTCTCCCTTGCTTTTTTTAGTTATTCAGCAGACTTAGTTTTACCCCCAAAAAACTCATGTCCTAAAGAGAAAAAAAAATGTTTCAACAACTTTTTATCGACTGCAGTTGCAGTCGATAGATTGCAGTTTAAAATTGTTTTTGTCTTTTAGGCATTTTTTTAAGCCGTTCTAAATGCAGAGCACTTATAGGACCTCTTAGCGCTTCACCTTTTGGAGGGACTAAGGGGTCTGAAGGACACATTGCGAGGGTTTTGGGAATTTACATATGAACCGTCAGTGTCACGCAACAGTCTGCCGTCACGCGGCAGCATTATGTTACGTGACGTCACTATGTCAGGTCGTGGGACCACATTACACTGCGACGTCACAGTGTTAGCTGATGTCACAGGAAACCTATACCGCATTTTCCACACTCTAGTAAGTAAACTTTTACGCTGTGCAGACTATCTATAGGTGCGGACGACACAACGATTTACTTTTTCTATACCGTTTATCATGACAAGACGAGAATGACACATCACGTTAATGACAATTTATGAGCGATACAAGCTTCTTTGTGAGCTAATACAGCAGGCATTTGTAAATGTGCGCTGTGTAGGAATATTGTCTATGTGCGGACTAGTCAAAAGGTGCGGACCATGTAAAGAAATGTTTTTCAACAGAAATTGCTTGTGCGGTCTCTAGTCCGAATAATAGGCAAATAGTACGCAGTTCGAGCGCCTTTCGAATAACGTCACACTATAATGTGACTTCCAATGACACAAAATCTTGAAGAGTTTATCCTACAAAGGCTATACCTTTACGAAAACTAATTGAAAGAAAGCGGTTAAAATTGTTCCGTCACGTACACGTACCGAACGGCATTAGTAGTACGTACGCTTCTCGAGCCTCTCTCCGCAGTCCACCCTCCAGTTGTAGTTGCAGAAGTCGAAGATGCCGCCCTTGGGGTCGAACAGGAGGCCGTTGGGGCAGACCTCCTCGGTGACGGTGCCGTTCTCGCAGCGCGTGTACCGGTCGCACGCAGTCGGGTGGGGCCACGCGATTAGGCCGGGGTCCGGGCAGTGGCGGGGATCAACACCGAAGTGCTGCGCCTCTGCTACACAAACACGCGAAACAAAGAACGCAAACCACCGTTAGATTATGCTTTATAAAAGGAAAAAAAGAAGACAGGGGGTCGGAATGTGTAAACCCTGTCCCTAGCAGCACACTTCCTCGGCTCATACTTGGGCCAGTCTGGCACAAGGTTGGGCCAGGCTTGAGCATAGTTGGCTCTAGCTCGCGCCAATCTAGTACAAGCCTGAGCCGAGGAAGTGTAGTACTTGGGGTGGGACCGCAAGAAGAGTAAAATAGGTCAGCGATTTATTTTTTTTATTTGGTGGACACTACGAGTAATAAAGAGATGATGTAGGAGGGAGAAAAACTGATAATAAAAAAAAAGCTTCCGCACACAAAACATTTAGCCTGAAAATGTCACGAGCTAATTACTTTTCATCTTAAAGGCAACTGTTAGCAAGGACAAGCAGAAAGAAACCACATACACACTTAGGTATTGGTTGCGTTCGAAATAAAAAATACTTCTTCTTTATGAGAACAAAAAGTTAAGAGTGAAAACTTTAGCACTAAGGCTATTAGTGCTTCTGGGTAAATGTACAATATGTAATATAAACAAAAACAGTCTGTTTGATTATTTTATACACGTCCGGTTATAAACTCGTTTTAAGGAAGCATAATAGAACGTAAAATTTGCTGTACTCTTTTGGTTGTTAAGCAAGTTTGAAGTATTCTGGTAGTTATACAGCATTAAATATTTTCTGCTCCCAACTAGACCAAAATTTCGTACGTATAAAATATTAAACACATCCCTTTACAAAAATTAACTGAAATATGAATAATATTTTCATCAAGGATCACAACAAGTAAGGAAGGCGAAGAGTAATTATGACTAACTTCTTTATTTTACTACAGAGTAGGTTGTCTCTCTGTATAGAATATCTGTATAAAATACATGTATAAATAAAAGTAGAATTTTATTCGCTAGAACCTTTTTTGTTTGAAAAAGCGTAAGTTGGAGAGAACATACATTCGGTAAATAATATGTGGTCGTGTCAATATATTGTAAATAAAGTGAAATACCATAATTAACAGAATTTGGAGGATACTTGTTACCGGATTTCAAATGTTTTGTTGGGCGTCAATGCAATAAAAATTGTTATGTGTATTTAGCCCTTTTTTCCCCAAATGCACGAAAGAATAATTTCCAATAAACACACAAAGCCGGTGTTCATGTCATTTAAGATATTGATGCATCGATAACTTAAGAGGTCTTAAAAGCATAGACGTTAATCAGTTAAAGGCTATCGCTCAAAAATCTTGGAAAGGAAAACAGCAAACGTCTTGTTTCGCGCAAAATGATCCATTTTTAAACTACTACAGTAAAAGAAAAATTTTCGATGTTGTCATATGTTGTGCTTACCCCAGAAACTCGTTATTTATTTATAGAGTTTTCCCGAATTGACGTGAAGTACTGTAACTATAAAGCAGAGTTTGTGCAATTATTATAAGTTATCTAACACAGATAAAGTATAATTAGTGTTCATAACAAGCAATAGGCCAGAACAAGATAAAAGAAAAATATATAAAACATTTAGGTACATTTTTCCCATCTCTCCATATGTCTACAACACAACAAACAGTTCAGGCAAAAATCGGGAATTTCTTGATGTAGGACAAAACTTTCTGATTGCCAACTGCACGTAACATTTCTTGAAACTTAATCTGCTGAAAGAAGAAAAAGAACAAAAAATTTAAGTTACCTTACAACGTACAAACTAACAAGTACAATATATAGCATTCATAGCAAACACGAGACAAAGGTATAAACAACGGACAGAACATCAAAGTCTCAAACACAGCCTTGAAGTTTGAAGTTCAGCTTTGGAGCTTTGACGTTTCAGACTTCGTTGTTCTGTCCGTTCTTTTTATTCCTTCTTTTCGGGTTTACTATGAATGTAATTGTCCATCTTGCCTATGTTTTTCCCTATCCTCACTAAAGCGATAGCAATTGTCGTCATTCATAACGTGCGTAGAAGCTCCGAAAACTACGATAACTGTTCTCCTTTACGCAAAGCTTTACACCTTGAGACCGGGTTTCCGAATACAGTTCTCTTCTTCTTGCACTGAAGCCCTTTTGACGACTGGAATCGGGAACAACACAAGCCGCTGGTATTTTTAACGAGTAGCACTTGCTTCCGACCTAGAGCATCGCTCTTCCGGAACAATGAGTGCTGTAACAAGCGGTGTCCGAGTCGTCGTTTACTAGATCAGTCGTTGCGCTTGAATGTGCGCGATAAAACACCATTGTGAAACCAAGGGCACTGTTAGCAAACACTAAGGCCTACTTTTCTTTACAACGCAATTTTGTTGTCGTAATGGTCGTTCTGCGACATTAACCACCAGGAAGGCACTGGAACCAGCAAGGTCAAGCTCAGGGGCATATTATTTCTTGAAGGCAAGGGTTTATTTGAGAGGAGAGAATGGAGGTATGATTTAGAGTCGAGTACGGTATTTACTGGAAAAAATTACCTACTTTTTATACATAACACTTGTTCCCTTCCTTTCTATGAGAGTACGCCGTATCGCCGAATATGACATTCTACGGCAGTCATGTTTTGATGAGATCAAAAACATTTCCTTCTGTCGAGACGTTGGTTACACGCATGCGTTGCAAACAATATCAACGACCGGTCCTTAAAAATAAAAGTCAATGAGCTATTTGTACCAAATATTATACAGAAAATTTATTACTTCCATAGTAAACGGAGACACGGAGCAATCAAAAACGAAGAAAAAAATAAACAAGAAGACTTGTTGATCATGATGTAAAAATCCTGAGACTGGGAAGGAAAATTGAAAGAAAAGGTGTAAGAAGACAGCAAGAAGGGGACAAACTGACATTTCAAAAAGACGTTTGTCTGTCCCCTTATTTCTGTGTCTTCTTACACTTTTTCTTTTAATTTTCCTTCCCACTCTCAGGATTTTAACATCATAATCAACATACACCAGCTCGCCTGCAGCATGACAGTTTTTTTCGTTAAGGCTTGTTGTTTTGTCCGTTTTTTATTGTTCCGTGTCCCCGGTTACTATGGGAATCGTTCACCAGCCCACCTGTGCTTTTACCTTTTCTTGGATAATTTATTATACTCTAATATAAAATATTTCATCAAAATGTAAAAGTTAGCGTTTTCCCTAGACGCACTTGTTCGCTCTTTATATGCCTAGATGTTTTCGGAACTGTGGAGGCGTTCACTTGTAGGAACATGGAAGAAACGCTATTTACATAGTTACTGCACGAATTTTTATATACAACTGAAAACGCAAAATAATTTTACTTCTATATTTGTAATATATTTGTATATTCGTTTTTTTTTAAATTTCAATACCCCTTCTGATTTATTGACCATCTCTGCTAACAACTTGACACAGAATAAATCATGTCATCTTAATGTTGTTGAGGAATGAAATTTCTGTCTCAATTGTTTATTTAGCCTTCTTACTGGGTGCGTAGCTACGAAACTTCTAAACAAACATCCGGAACCTAGTTAATGTTGTAGCAATCCCACAAAAGTCAAGGCATTCGCTTTGTAGATTGCATCATCTTTTGTTCTGCTTTTTTCTAAGATTTGCTTGATGCATTAATTCTTGAATTTTAAATAACAGGGTTGTACAAAAATTACTCCAGACATGCTTAAAGGTACAATTACAGTTAATTGCGCTCTAATGCACATACGTGTTTAGCTACTCATTTTAACAGAAACAGAAGCATTTCTTGAAGGGTACTTCTTAGCCCAAATAACTAATTTCGTTCTTAATAACAAATTACAAATAGGGGGGTCGTTGGCTGAGTGGGCTAGCGCACACCAGCTCGGAGCACTTGGAGCGAAAGCTCGCGCTGCAGAACCCTTGGAATCTCGGGCTCTATCCCCACCCCTGCCCGTTTCGATCGGAATGAGTCTCGTACCGCCGTGTGGTGTGTACCACTACCCCGTGATGCACGTTAAAGACCTGAGGCCAGAGGTTGTACTGCACTGGCTAAATTACTCATCTACAGCTGAGACACCAGGCGCCCATTGGGCCTGACTAACTTCCGGCTGTATAAAAATACACACAACACAGTTATTATGATAAATAATCACAATTATTGTGCAACTGATGTTCCTGCAAAATTGAAACGAAGAGAAATATCGTGAGATGCGTTGACATCTTTCTAAGTTTACTTAGTATTTAACGAATATAATAAGAGAAGCACGCACCAGACTGAGTTATAAATTCCGTGCTATAATTTCGAACTTTTAGATAGGACACTTTTTAGCTTTATAAATTGCGTTTGATAACGTGCAATCTCAAACGGTTTTTCTTTTATCGTTTCGTTGAATGGCAACGCGCAGCCTTCTGCTGGTCGCATTTACATCATCCCAAGGCGCTTCCTACAACTATCATTCGACGTAAAAATATCTTAGTTCTGACATTTATTGTCACTTTTTACCTTGATTGGGACGACGCGCTTACTTTTAGAAATGTGGTACGGTTTCTCCATTTAGAGCAAGAATCTCCAAAACCCCCGCCCGTGGGCCAAATCAGGCTCGATGTGGTTTTACGACCGGCCCACGGCCTGCCGCGGTTTTTCCGGTGAAGTCCGGTCAGCGGCTCGTTTCAAGCAGGCCCTCAGGAAGCTTTCTATATAGGCCCAGCGCATATAAAAATGGCGCCGCTAAACAGATTAATCGCGTAACGAAGAGAAAAGAAAAAAACGTGAGAAAACTTTCTATTGCAAGGTGTGTCCTCTCGTCATGTTATTTAGTAAACATCGTCATCACCAGCACCACCTGGATCACCATATCAAGACTTCGGTCGTTCTAAAGCACGAAATAACAAATAATAGAAATCATTATTATTATTAATATTATTATTACTCCCCCGTTTTATACCTGTCTAACTAGCTATGTCAGAATTCTTTTTTCGTTCCAAAGTACACATTGTGCTTAGTGTCCTGTGCTGTATCTGTTTCATACGGTCAGCATCCGTTTTATCAATCTCAAC